GGAGCGAGAGGCCCCCCCCGGCGGCAGAGGCTGCCAGCAGCTGGGCGTGGAGCCGCGTGGCAGGGCCCGCAGGGCAGTGGATCCCGAGCATGGAGCAGCAGCGTCCTCAGCGGGCAGGTTGGGGGAGAGCTGGAGCTCATGGGGCGGCAGAGCCCGCAGCTAGCCGGGCTGCCGGGAGCTCTGGCGGGGTGGTAAGGCTGCTGCAGCTTGTAGGGTGGGAGACTGGGGAGAGAAGCCCAGTAGGGAGCCTTGCACCGTCCTCCCTGGTGTCCAGCAAAACTCCCTTGTCCCAGATGGGTGAGGTCTCGAGGGTGCCAGACCAGGGAGGTCCAACTTGTACTTCCAGGAAGACTGGTGTGGAAAAGCATGTGGTTATATTACAAGTTTACAAACACTCAGGTAAAGCAGCGGTGAAAGTAATTAAAAGTGTATTACAGGTACTGTCCTATTGCAACCTGGGTTCCTGCCTGCTCTTGAAATAGCTCCCTGCTGGCTTTTGCCAGCTCTTGCCAGAGCTGCACACCAGGGTGCGCCAGCTTACTTTCACCTCTGGTGTAGAGAATAGTACTAGGATTGCCAGACTAAGGAGTCTCCAGGAATTAAAGATTAATCTTTAATTAAGGATCATATGTGATGAAACGTCCAGGAATACATTCAGGGAAAATTGGCAACCCTAAATAGTACAGGAACTTCAGGGGGTGTCTGAGTTAGTCTGTTGAGTTAGTCTGTTAGGGGAAAAAAAACCAGCAAGCAAATGGTCTGGTAGCACTTTATACACTAAGAAAACATGACGCAAGCTCATGATACCATCTACATGTTTTGTTAGTCTATAAAGTGCTACTAGACCATTTGCTAAACAGTACAGTGTGCATGAATTCTTCTACCTTGAATAATAATAGATTGAGGGGAGAAGACCAGCTTCAGTTAGCTTTCCTGTGGATTTTTTTTAATACACATGAAGGCTGTGTCTAGACTGGCAAGTTTTTCTGCAAAATCATCTGCTTTTGCGGAAAAACTTGCCAGCTGTCTACACTGGCCGCTTGAATTTCCAGAAAAGCACTGACGATCTCATGTAAGATCGTCAGTGCTTTTCCGGAAATACTATGCTGCTCCCATTCAGGCAAAAGTCTTTTTCCGAAAGACTTTTGCACAAAAGGGCCAGTGTAGACAACACAGTACTGTTTTCCGCAAAAAAGCCCCGATCGCGAAAATGGTGATCGGGGCTTTTTTGCAGAAAACCGCGTCTAGATTGGTCACGGACGCTTTTCCGCAAAAAGTGCTTTTGCGGAAAAGCATCCTGCCAATCTAGACGTGCTTTTCCGAAAATGCTTTTAACGGAAAACTTTTCCGTTAAAAGTATTTTTGGAAAATCATGCCAGTGTAGACGTAGCCGAATTGTATTTGCTTTGTTGTTAGGCATTTGCTGTACTATTTAGTCGTTGTCTGTATTGACTGTCCTAGTACTCTTTCCAGTGCAGTAGGTTTTGTTTGTAACTATAAGGTAAATATAAGGTAGATCCTCAGTCTTTGCTGTAATCTCTTCTGTTGATTTACAGTGAGGCTGTCAAACCGAGGCCTTTTATCAAATGTAGCTTTTACCAGATCTAACTATTGGAATAGGGCCTTTTACCAGAACTTAGTTCACTTTTTAAAAGTAAGAAAAGAAAGAAGAGCTCTCATAATATCCTCCCACACATACACACTGCATAAATAATTAATAAGTATTTCTATGAACTTCTATGTATTTCAAATTAGAACACATTTTAAAAGTGCCCATCCAGAGGCCTACCTCTTTGCCAAAAAATAAAATAAGAAAACCCAGAAATACAGTCATACAAAAAGACCACCTCCACTCCATGCCACCAAGACAAAAAAATAACCAGCTGCAATAAATCAAATCCAACCAATACCCAAACATCAGTCCTCATTATTGTGACTCTCTCCCCTCAGAACTCAGGCTATAGAGATTGACTTCATAATATGCCCTGAAGATCAACATCCAAGGTACATAAAGGCTGTGTCTAGACTGGCCAGTTTTCCGGAAAATCAGCCACTTTTCCGGAAAAACTTGCCAGCTATCTACACTGGCCGCTTGAATTTCCGCAAAAGTACTGACAATCTCATGTAAGATTGTCAGCGTTCTTACGGAAATACTATGCTGCTCCCGTTCTGGCAAAAGTCCTTTTGCGCAAAACTTTTGCGCAAAAGCACCAATGTAGACAGCTGAGATTTGTTTTCTGCAAAAAAGCCCCGATCGCGAAAAAGGCGATCGGGGCTTTTTTGCGGAAAAGCGCGTCTAGATTGGCACGGACGCTTTTCTGCAAAAGCGCATCGTTATAACGCGAACTCCGCGCCAATCTAGATGCTCTTTTCCGAAAATGCTTTTAACGGAAAAGTTTTCCGTTAAAAGCATTTCCGGAAAATCATGCCAGTCTAGACGTAGCCAAAGAGTTTATTTTCTCTAATATCTCTCAGAACTTTAGTCAACTTGATTATATTAGACAACTACAACCTGCAACTACAATAGCTGCTAGCCAGGCATCCAAATTCCGTCCATTGAAAGGGGAGGTGGATAGAGAACACTTTGCATAATTGTTACTGTCTTTTTTTGGTCTGCTCTAGGGTTGGGCAATAATTTTTGACAGGAGGCCACTCCAAGATTTTGGAAAGCGGTTGAGGGCCTCACTCTTTCAGGATATTAATGGAGGAGATGCAGGGTCTGGGATGGAGATTGGGTGCAGAAGGGAGTTTGGGGTGAGGGACTGGGGTGCAGGAGGATGGAGTCTAGGAAGGAGTTTGGGTGAAGGAGGCAGTTGTGATCTAGGGTAGGGAACTGAGATACAGGAGTTTGGGATATGACATGGGTAAAAGGGGTTGTGATCTAGAGCAGGTGATTGGGGTGCTAGATCTGGGAGTGGGTATGGCTGCAAGAGGAGGACAGAGGGTTTGGGTATGTGGGGGGGAGGGGGCAGGGAGGTGCTGGAGTGCCAGAGGCAGGCTGTGGCCAGGAGACTTACCATCCAGCAGCCAACCCAGCCTGCCTAGCTAAGGCTTACAGAGCTAAAACATTTCGCAGCCAGCCATCCTGCCTGGCCATGTGCTTCAGTGAATAACTGAGACGAGTGGAGGGGGCATGGTTCTTGGCTGCTTGTTATTCAAACAAGCAGCTGCCATTGGCCGGTTTCTCACCAGCTATTAGCCCAAACTAGCTATTGGGATTGTGCTGGGAGTGGGGTGGCTCCTGAAGCTTCCTCCTTCCCTTCAGGTTTTGAAACAGAAAGGAAGCCTGGCAGACACATTTCTGCACAGTGCAGGGAAAGCAGGGGAGCTTGCCTGGGGCTCCCCACTGCCTCAGAGGGCCAGATCTGGTGGCTTGGTGGGCCAGATCCAGACTGAGCTGTATTTTGCCCAGGCTTGGTCTACTCTGTATAATTAAAAGTCAGTCTGTTGTTATCACCAGGACTAACTTCTTGGTTTTTAAATATACCTCTTTTTCCTGAAACCACAGTGAAATTCTCAACCAGGCAGTATGAATGGATTTGTGATGGGCCAGGCCCTCATGAGTGGTGTAGGTCAGCACAGCTACACTGAAGTCAACCAAGCGGCATCGTTTCACACCAGCTGAGGCTCAGGCCCAGGAAATGTGGAGAGGTTTTGACTCACCAGCTGTTTCCTTTAATGTCAGAGACATTTTATAATTACCAGTACCCTGCTCTTACTTAGAGCTTTTCATCCTTAGATCTCAGAGTGTGTTATGCAGATGGGGAAGTGTAGTTACCATAGAAAGTCTCTTAACCTGCAGTCACACAAAGAATTGGCATAAGAGCTGGGAACAGAGCCCAGATCTGCTTACCCTCCATTCTGTGCCTCATGTCAATTTTATGAGCATGCAGCAAGCCCCTCCCAAAGCATAAGAGAATCAGCAAAAGGCTTCCTCCCCCACATCAGACAGGCACTAATCCCAGGAAACACAGCAGAGTCACCTTACATTGAAGTTTATTGTTAATGTATAAATTGTACAGACAGGACACAAGGACAACACTGTTCAACAACTGCATTCTGCTATCTAAAAACAAAATTGACCTGAGTCATGATTGGAAAAATAGGCTATAAGGGGCTAATAGTGTCATATAAAAAAAGTCTGTAATCCGAGGGGAGCCTGAGAACTCGACAGAAGAAATCTTTGCAGTACCAGGCAGCTGCACAAAACACTGACAGAACAAAGCACCAGTAAGGCTTTTTCCCCCAGGCAGCAGGGAAGCTACCAAACCTATATTTTATATCTGGGGCTCTTTGCAGGAACTGTCTGAAGCAAGGCCAGGGGCCAGCCTTGCCTTTCAGGATTTTTTTTTTGCCTCAGCTTTTTGGCAAAGTTCAGTCTGTGGGTTCAGAAATGCTTTCAGCACAGGTTGGAGAGAATTTGCATGAGCCTTCGGAGTCCTCTTAATCCACTAGCAAAGTGTTAGTGGCGCAGCCAAGATCAGAATGTCCAGGAAGAGGGCTGGTTGGGTGGTATTGCTCATATCACACGGGGAAGGTGTGTTAGGTTGAGGAGGAGAGGCAGGAGGGCAAAGCCTAAAGTCCTTTCTCTTCACATGGCAAACAAGCCCACAGCAACCGTTGTCACGAGGAAGCTGAAGGCAAGAATCCACCGTACCAGTGGAGTGCTAGGCAGCATACCAGTGTGCGTCAGTGATGTTTTTTCACCTTCTTTCACAGGAACTGGCCCTAAAAATCAACAGAAATCAAATATGTAAGAGCAGGAATCAGGCTAGGAAGGGTTTGCTTCTAGGTTAGTTTTATATCCATTTCCAAAGGTGCACTGCCCCTGGCACATGAACTGAAGCCAAAGTGAGCAATAGCACAGGATAATGGTGGATGGTTACACCAAATGTACACCCCAAGTGGGTGGCTAGTGAGACACAAGGTCAGTGGTCAAGGGCCTTCAGCTAGTTCAAAAGGCTGGGTTTGTGGTTTAAAATCTCACGTCCCTCCCAGGTGTGTGGTATAATAACCCTCACTGCCCTGCAGGTGTACTCTATAATCTTTTTTCTCCATGCTAGATGTGGAGGGTAGCTTGCCATTGCTGTAACTTAATGCATTTTGGTTCCTTTTGCTTTTTGTAAAGTCTCAAATTTGGTACAACGCCAGGCTCCTGCTGTTTCATAGGAACAGCTTAATGCACTGTGTGGAGAAAGCCTAAGGGTTGGTTAAAGCTTTCTTGAAGAGATGTGAAAAGATTTTCCTGGGAAACATTAAAATATTATTTCATCTCCCTGGCCTTGCTTCCAGAACAAAGCCAAACCTTTTAGATAGTCTCCAGCCTTGTTTTCCCCAGCTAGCCTTCATTCCCTGGCTCCAGCCCTACTTCATGTCCCAATATGAGTTCTGCCTCAGAAATCAGTCCTCGCTCCCACTATACCTTGCCCCAGTCCACTCTATTCCTTCTTAGATCTGTGTGAGAGCAGTATATAAAGTCTGCTGAAGCAGGGCTCCTTTATCAGATCTTAGCAGCGCTGCCAGCTGCCAAAAGAGCGTGCACAAGAATAATGGGCGTCTCCCTCTCTTCCTGGATATCTCATTGTATCCCTGGCCTCTCTGAACCTCACACACTCATTCAATAGTCCCCAATAAGCTCCTTCAACAACTTCTAGCAGTTGCAGAGTGCAGGTAACCATTTGAAACATTAAAAAAAAAAACTTTAGGGTGGGAAGATGCATTAAAATTTCTCATGCCATTTCTGTGAAAATTATCCTATGCTTGAACGTGTAGAGACCTACAAGGGTGAAGTTGAGAATAACATTTCTCATGCTGAAATGAAGCTAACCCAACTGAATACCTATGAAAGTGCTGTTTTTGCTTGTTTCAAAATCTTAGGTTCCAAGGAGAACTTTATCTTAACTACACATTCTCAGATAAGTCACTTTCTCCAGTAGAAATCTGGAAGCAACCTTTGCTATGGAATAATTACTCTGACCCTGCAATAACGGCATGGTTTGCAATACCTTTGAACCTTCCCGTGTCATTCCTACAATGGCAGCATTTTGTCAGTAGATGGAGCCATGTCGTTCTAAAGTTAGACTAGAATGCTGAGCATTTGAAAAATAGCTGCCCCGGGATACTGCAGCCACAAGATCTCAAGCCCAGGAATGAGTAGTTCTGACTGTGCTATATTTCATAGCAAGGAAATGCAGCAGACACCACATAAAAGCATTTGCCCAACACTCAGGAGAAGAAAGAATTTTCTCTTGCTTTCCAGAAATATTCACTGACCACAAGCACGAAACGTTTCAATCCACAAGACGGATCTTTGGCTAGGTCTTCATGTCAACAGGCTTATAATGCAAGAGCTTCCTCAGTCAGGACTGTGGCACTGATCATTACTGTGCTGCACTGGGGCCAAACCATCAGCCTTTAGTCCTGGATGCACTCAGTTGGGCCTAATTCTCCTGTTGCTTACACAGGTGTCTCTCTAGTGAAGCCATGGAGTTATATCATTGTAAAACCAGTGAGGAGAGGAGACTCGGGCCCATTAATTGTTAACCTTCTTAACTGTCAATTTTCCCATCTGCAAAATGAAGATATTGGTACCGCCCTCCTTTGTAAAGCACCTTGAGATCTACTGGTGAAAAGCACTGAATAACAATGGTACATTTTTATTATTTCTGCAGAGCTCACAAGCCCCGACATGTTTTGGCCTCCTTTTATGGCTCTCGGTAGTAGTTTCCTCACACACATAGCTGCCACACTAGCCAACACTAGGGGAGTGTAAATAGAGAAGCCCCAGGAGAGCCGGAGCAGCCTCCTCACCACTCAGCAAGGGAGAGGGCAGGGAGGGAGAAGGACAAAACTCTGAAAACTGGCTTTAGGAAGGTTCTTACCATGCTCATGTGTTCTGCTGGTGCCTCTTGTGCGGAGCTCTGGCTTCTGTTGTGCAGCAGGGTGACTGTTCTCATGTGGCTGGGATACCAGTTTCTGCAGCTCCTCAAACACCTTGACAGCAAGAAACATACAGTTCCCTCATTACTTGGAAATGTGGTCTTCTCTCCTCCATGAGCCCCTTCTTACAGCACAAAACATTTTGGGAACTAGAGGATGTATCCAACCACTGATCCTTTGTGTCTTTCCTTCTCCAGAAAGGAGACTGCCTAAGGGTATCTTGTAAACACCTTGCTTGTTTAATAGTATAAAGTGGGTGAAATGCTTTCCCAGGGCAATTCCATAGGAAGTTGAGCCCCATTGTTCAGCCTTCAGATCAGAGGGAAATCTGGGTGTGTGCATTAGTATGGAAAAGAGTGGTAAGGGAGGGAGAAGATACATGGAAATATTAGGGTTGGAGTGGTGGGCTCTAATTCCTGTCCCCTCCCTTCTCCCCAATAAATGCCCATGTTCGAACAAGAGCAACAAAGAGCCTGCAATCAAATCCTGGAGAGGATCTGTTGCCCTGTGGGGAAAAAAGGGCATTCTAGTATCGAGTCTCTTGGGAGGCTCATAAAAGCAGCTGTCACATAAGAGAAGTTCAATACTGGCTCCTTTCAACTCACAGCTTCCCTTCAGCTATTCAGTACAAATGCTACCTGGCCTATGCTCAGATAGCAGCTGTACCTTAAGTGGGAGAGGCCGGGGCGGGGGGGAGAGAAATGCAGACTACGTACCTGTATATTCAGCAAGAATGCCCGCTTGGCTTCCTCCAAGACTCTCTTCTTCATGGTTGGATCCATCTCGATGGAGTTCATCCGGGAGCGGTACAGTTGCTTGAACTTTGTGGCACTGGACACCCCTTCAAAGGTGAAGAACTCCAGCCCTTCTCCAGTACTGGGCAGGTGGAGAACTTTCTGGGCAATCTTCTTTAACACCTGCCCACCAGACAGGTCTCCCAGGTACCGAGTATAGGCATGGGCCACCAGGAGTTCTGGTTCATGTTGGCCCACGTAGTGGAGCCTATCCACATATTTTTGAGTGGCCTCAGGACATGAGATTTCTTCCCTCCACGATGGGCCATAGAAATACTCTAAGTCTTGCTGCAGGGCAGCATTACGGTGCAGTTCTGATGGGAAGTAAACGGCAGTAAAGGCTGGGTGATCCTTGTTATGCTCAATCTCCTCCTCCAGAGCAGAATAGATGTAGTAGAGAGAAGCCATAACCATCTGTGGTAAAAGGGAAGGAATAAATCAGCGACAGGGTCTCTCTCCCCCCAGCTTCAGGTGCACTTCTTGTCAATACAACATATCTGCATATAAACACTGTGTATGTGTCACTGGTTATTGTACCATATCATCCCATAGCCCCTTCTTTACTAAGGCAGGGTCCTTGGGATCATGGAAATTAGAGGCTGAAGAAACATATTAGGTCACTTCTCAGCTATTCTTCAGCACACAGACCCCTTCCCTTCTTCCTCTCTTCCCACATGCAGGGATGATTCCCAAAGGTACATTCTCCAATGCACTGTTCAGTTCTGATTGTCTCCAGAAACTGGAGGTCCTATCCCTTGACATACTGTGACAACCTTTTTACTTTATGATCTATTCACTCAATGGGCAGACCTCTGCTCAGACACCACGGATATTGGAATTGCAGCCCCTGTCTCTTCATTCAATAAGTAGGGTGGCCACTTTCACGTGCGTTGTCTCAAGGGATATGTCTAAACTACATGGCTCCGTCGACAGAGCCATGTAGATTTGTTTGTTTGGCAAAGGGAAATGAAGCCGCGATTTAAATAATTGCGGCTTCATTTAAATTTACATGGCTGCCGCGCTGATCAGCTGTTTGTTGGCTCAGTGCGCTAGTCTGGACGCTCCCCTGCCGACATGAAAGCCCTTTATCGACCTCCCCAGTAAACCTCATCCTACGAGGCATAACGGGGAGGTCGATAAAGGGCTTTCAGGTCGGCGCGGGAGCGTCCAGACTAGCGCACGGAGCCATGTAAATTTAAATGAAGCCGCGATTATTTAAATCGCGGCTTCATTTCCCTTTGCCGATCAGCCTAATCTACATGGCTCCATCGATGGAGCCATGTAGTTTAGACACAGCCAAGGAGTCTAGGCAGGAATGTCTTTTCAGAGATAGTCAGCTAGTATTAGGGATGTTAAATTTAGATTAATTGGCTTATCGAATAGTCGATTCAATTTGCATTAACTATTCCATTAGTCCAGAAGGGTGACTCTGCCTTTGAAGTGTAGGGCTGTTGCTACACTTCAAAGGCAAAAGCACTGCAGGGAGCATGGGGCCAGCAGGGGACGACTAGTATTCCTAGCTGGTATTCCTCCAAAAACACCCACTTTAGCAGCCAAGGACACTGCAGTCACAGGAGAGGGACAGCAAGAACAGTTCACCTCAGAAAAGGGACTTGGTGAAAAGAGCATTGTGAGGTTGTGTGTTGGCTGTGTCTCTATTGCCATATCTCATTTTCTCCTCTTACAAGATGCTTTTTCTAACTTCCAACCATTCAAACTGGGGTTTGGCTGTTAAAATGGGGTCTTTCCTTCTTGTGCATCATCACCAGAAGATTCTGTTGGTCAAATGTTGCCTTCACTGACAGTGGGATTGTACACGTGTTTTTACAATCAAGGGTAACTCAGGGGTAACTCAGGGCAGAATCGTATGGCTATTTGATACAGATAGCTCAGGCTTGATTAAAAATTCTGCTGATGATTAAAAATACGACAGAAAAGAAACCAATTCACTCCCTCTGATCTGCATTGTTTTTACAGGGCTAACTGCAATAAAAAGCAATCATTCCTACATTAGCCACTTCAATCAGACAGTACTCTGAATATATAGAGTGCTATTTCTACGTAGTCATATTTCAGAAAAGATCTGCATGTTATAAGGAAGGTAGCAACAAAAATAAAAAGATTCTAACCACTGACCCTATTAGCTAGATTCCTGGAAAGGTCTGGTAATAGAGTAGTGTGGTAACAAACTAGAGGAAAACTGCATAAATTAAGAAAACTTAGCTTGGAAAATATCAACTATTCTAGTTAACTACAGGCTTTAGTGGAAGTTGTGTAGCTAAATCTGCCAGCTGATTTTGGAAATTTCAGACAGTTTGCATCACCTTTTGGAATCCTAGTCACTTCTGACTCTCCCTGACAAAAGATCACTATCCTCCCAGAAACTCATCTGGATCTTCATTGCAGAGCTAATGTTATCAGGGCTGGTCCTAGCCAATTGGCAGCTCTGGGCAAAAATTTGTCAAGCACCAAACAACAAAAAAACAAAAAAAAGAAAACAAAAAAAAGGGGGGAGGGGGGAAAAAAAACAGAGAAACCCAGGGGGAGGATTCAGTAGGTCAGGCCAATATGCGGTCATGGCCCACCCCTAAGACCAGCTCTCTCGGTGGTCCCTTGAAAATGATGGCCCCGGGCAAGCGCCCGGCTCGCCAGCCCCTAAGACCGGCTCTGAATGTCATGTTCCTATTTGCTGGACAATCCATGTGAGCTGAGGGCTCTAAGGAACGTATAGCTCACTTGGCTTGTTTTTCCTTCTGGTTTTGTTTATTATGTGATTCAGCTGTTAGGAACCCTATTATATCTTCAGGGTTACACCTAGATACTGTGCAATGTACATCTGAGCAAAAAGGGCGCTACAAAGATATTAGCATTTATTTACTCATTCAACTGGGGCAATGATTTGCTCTGGCACAACTGAGAGAGACGCTATTTGCTCAAATCCATGAACCATATAGCCACATCCATTGCAAAACCAAGTTACAATTCTAATATTACAGAGGAAATGACAAGGAACCTTCAGGATTCCTCAGCCTGGCAGATTTCATTTTTAGAACAAGATTTCTAATATCCATGTCCATGGATTTTCCTGGTCTGACTCTCCCACCATTATTTCCAGGTATGTCCATATATATCATTCTAAATAATTCTTCCCCCTCCTTCAAATACGGGTACACCATTATAGCTTCAGCAATCATTTGGCCATAAGACACCTAGGCATTTAATTGCTTTAACCTTTCCTGGTCAACCCATTTTCTCAGCCCTTTCATGCAGCCTCTGCAAAGCCAGGCACACCACAGCTCAGTGTCACTATCCACCCAGAAATGCACAGTTCCATGCCACATTTTGCAAGAGGAGTTGGCAAGACATTGAAAGAGCCCTGAAGTTACTCGGGGCTGGATATTGGCGTGGTGAGTGACACAATGACACCACGTTGTCATGACCCAAAGATTTCCCATTTAAGAGCTCTGGCTTGGCTGTTCTGAATTAGACACAAGACATTACCTAGAATTCAGTTGTCCCCACCCACCCCAACAGCACTGCAGGGATACCTTAAACTCCCGGAGGGACACCTGCCCCTTCTGAAAATTCTTCATGAACTCTGTGCTCTCTGCTTGCTCATGCACCTCTTTGGTGGCTTCCTTCAGGGCTTCTGACAGGTCTCCAGGCATGCTGGGAAAGCAGAGGGAAAAGCCATCAGTGTCAGAAGCAAAGGAGAAATTAAGCCGGACCCCGGTGCAGCACACTAGTAAGAGACTGCCTGGCTAAGAGGAGCGAGGTTCTGGATGCTGCCGGCACCTGGGCTACTCCATCATAGCATGGGTGGGTAGCCTCCCCACAAGCTCCCCAAAGATCTTGCAGCCGGACAGCTCCCTCAAGTTCCTCCCATACCCCACAACCTCCTACCCTGAGCCCCCTGCCCTGATTCCTGCACATCCCTAACTCCCGTCATGAGCTCCTCACATTCATTTCCCTAGTCCTGAACTCCCCTCTCCTAATCCCCTGAGCCCCAGGTACTTCATCCCACACTTAAATTTCTCATAGATACTGTCCTATTGCAACCCCAGCTACCCCCAAAGGGGGAGGAAGGTTGTGAGAAATTTAAGTTACTTTCCCCCTTGGAAGCAGCATATCACCACCCCCTCCAAAATAAAAGCTCTTTCCCAACAGTGGGGAGGGAAGAAAAAACATCTCCCGAGGGTGAGGGGCAAGTGGGAAAGAGAAGGAGCATCAGCATCCCAAATACTTCCTGGAGTGGGGGGAAAATATTGTCATACCCGTCTTCAGCAGAAAGGAGAAGGCAGGGGAAAGGATTCTCCCATTCCCAGTAGAGGTGAAGAGAAGCAAGAGGATTCCCAACCCAAGGAGCAAGAGGGGAGAAATGCCATTCTTTTCTATGGTAATTTCCCTTGAATTCTAGCCCTGCTCTCACCTTTCAGACCCGTGTGCCTTGGAATCTTCCATTTCTCTTGTCTTTCCTTCCTTCTTTTTTTGTGCTCCTCTGTTGTCTTCCTCTCTCCTTCCCTCTTCTGTCAGGGCGCTGTGAAGCCTCGGAGTTAAGCAGCCCTTCTCCTGCATCCTGCTTTATACTTTGCTCTGATCATGTGAGCAGTCAAACAGCTGACCCTGGTGAAAATGTTGCAACACACACACTTTCCTCAGTGGGCTCCCCCTCCCCTCCGCCTATTTCCCCCTGGGAGGGACAAGTCTCCTGACCAATCTTGACAATGAGGCCCAACAACAGGATGTTGAAAGATTTCCCCTTACAGAATGCTGGGCAGCTTGCCTAGGCTCATTAACCCTTTTTCTGCCCAGTAGGGAGAACCAAGAAGCACCACTGTAGGAATTTGGGAGGATTCACTAAAGTTTAAGGGGGGTTAAACTGGGAAATTAATTCAGATTAAAGCAGGGTGTGAATTTAAAGTGGAGCGTCTAGCCCTGATTGACTTCCCTGCAGAGTGAAATGTTTCTGATCAGTTTAATCCATTTTTGGAAGTGAATTAACACATTCAGAATAAGTTACTCTTATTCCAGAATATGAGTGTCCACGTTGGGAGTTGATCAGGAAGAGCTATTCAGAATAACTCCCTGTGTAGACAAGCCCTCACAGTCTGTCTGTATCTGTATAGTCTTTCAGATAACAAGGAGCTCACACTTTAAGGAGGGGGTGAACAGAAATGATGGCTGGGAAATTCAACGGCAAGGTGTACTATGTTCCCACACAGTATTACAGCGCACAAAGCAGGTACATGCCAAGGAGCCGACTAAGGGCGTATGCAGAAATAAAAATATATCTGCTTTTGGGGGGGCACGTTTTGTTCCCCTGATGTGGCTGGCCCAGGGGCCAGAGGAGTTTGCACACTCTCTCTGGCATGGCCTTGGGACCAAAGGAGCTTTGTGCCTGTTGGATATTGTACACATCCCTGGACGTGATGGATGGTGAAATATACCTGGGAAATTCTGGTGAAGGTCTGCAGAGACCTTGCAGCATAAATAGTTTATCTAATCTGGGACTAGAGGCAAAGAGCAACTGGACTGTCTAGAGACTGATTTCCTGACAGTAATGGATGGGCACTTGCCTTTCTGTTTTCATAACTGGTGAATAATTAGGAACACATAGGGCCATGTTGGAGTTTTCTTTAGGCTTTATTTTGATGGGTGAGAAGCTCAGCCTGCTAGTGTGAGGCTGGGTGTGGAAAATGCATCCATTGGCTTTAATTTTGGCAAAAGAGTGCTTGCCTTCAACCAGAAAACAGGGTACAGGGCGTCTCTGCTACAAGTCGTCCCGGTATACATCCGTTCTGCACTAAAGTCGTTGATGCTTGTAGGGACTGATGCATTATAAGTCCTCCCACTCCCTGCTCTTAAGTCACACAAAAAACAAAACAAAATGCACACAATTTGAGTAAATGGAAGTCAGTAATGGGGGAAAAAAATCCCTGCTTTAAGTTTGCTATAATTCCACGTTTTTCTGAATGTATCTTGGACGTATAGCGAGGACGGCCTGTATGGTGAAAAATGGGATCAGGACCCTACTGAAAGCACTGTGATATGAGCCTCTCACCCCAGATCTCTGGCCTGGACTCATGCTACTGACTGGGGACCACACCAGTACTGTGATATAGAAGATGGCAGGCAGGATTTGTGTATCTACACATTTTTTCACCTCTGTCAGACATTTGGAGTTAAGAGGGTGATAGAAATGTAGCTGTGTTAGTCTGGTGTAGCTGAAACAAAATACAGGACTATGTAGTTAAGAGGCTGAGTGTTCAGGAAAGATGACACAGCACTTCTGCAGCTGACTCAGCTGGGCTCCCTGCCTTCCCTTTTTCTCTTAAAGCAATGAGGGAAGGCACTCCAGAACGTTCCTGCGTTTCCTCTACTTCCCTTCCACCCACACACCCCACGTGCCATTGCGCTCAGGGTGCTGCTGCCACTGTTCTGCATTTATACTTCAGGGTGAAATAACAATGTCACATTTGAGTTATGCAATGATGTTGCAGCCTCATGTCATGATCTGACTTTATGAGACCTAAAATATACTTGTCACATAGGGATCCTGAAGGGTGACCTCCAATATGCAGGTCTGCACATACGGAATCCTTCTGTCACTTCATGGAGAACAGAAAGGTGGCCTCTAATCCCCCGGAGCACCCTGGGACTCACACTTGCGAAGCCTGGTGTGGTTGCCCCACACTAACTATCTTATGGACAGGCAGCTCTGGTAGGAAGAGAACACATTCCCCAGGGAAAGTGAGGGCTTCCACTTAAACAAGGAATTAGCAGTATTTGCCAGATGATGACATAGCAGAATGCAGCCTGGTGGTCTGGAAGGGCAAGACTGGTTCTGTAATCATAGCCTGCAAGGTAACAGAAAGAAAGCAATTAATATTTAATTAAAAGGCTTTAATAGAGGTGACAGGAGCCTAAATACTTCCCCAACAAAACAGGACATGACCCCTCTGGAGACCAGGGTTATAGCAATGCCACACCTTAGCAAGCAATTACCACAGTGAGATAATGTTATTCACTGCAGTCATTGATGTTTGCCAAGGGCAGAATGGCCCAGCCTACACTATGATGCTGGTGTAGCCATTTAACAATCTAAGCCGTGATAAAATGGAAAGTCTGAAATCACCGTTCAGAAGTCAGCTCCTGAGACACATGTTCCTAGGATGAGGGCTAAATGGCTAACCGTGCATATCTCTAGAATGATGGGTATGGGCACACAGGAGGGCTGAATTCCTATGGTGCACACTGCTAAGAGGATGGGTGCCCACATAGCTGAATTTGAACAGATGCACCTCTAGAGTGAGGGGTGTGTGCATGGTATGGATGAATTCTGAGGTTGTACACTTCAAGAGAAGAAGAGTAGTGGATTCACATAGTACCGATGAACTCCATGAACAAATGCTCCAAACAAGATGACAGCACACCGTATAGAAGAGTTCCTAGGACAAGGTGCTTCCAGTGTTATGGAGAAGGGAGCACAGATGAAGTCCCAAGACAAACATTCCCAAAGATGACAGAAGAACATGGTGCAGGTGAATTCCCACCCAGGACTAATGCCCTGAGCATGACAGAAGTGCACAGTATGGATTAATTGTTCCTAATGTTCCAGGAACTCAGAGTACTGGCAGATGTGCAGTGCACACACATGACAAGGACATGTGCCACGGGCTGTGACAAGAGTGGATAATAGAGAAAAACTCCCCAGGACATATGCTCTCTGTGTTACAGGAGACATAGGAACAAATGAGCTCTTCTGGACTTTGGCAGAGCACACAACAGGAGTACAAAGAATCAACAAATTCTGCTGAGAGTTTGGTGAGAGCACATAGTACAGAAAAAGAATTTAGGGCATATACAGCACCAATGGGCTCTTCGGAGCACACATTGGAGTGCACAGACTGCTGACAAACTCCGCAGAATGCACATTGTTGCTGATCAACTACCTGGGCTATGCACTCACAGCATTGAGCTGTGCATACCCTCCAGTGCCCTATACCAGTGTCTCTCAACCTTTTTTTTATAAAGTACCCCTTTAAAAAAATTATAAGTACCCCCACTACCTACAGTTTTCAGACACACACATTTTTTTCTACCATTGCAACACATTTGTTTAAACAACTTAATCATAGCTGGGCGAGTGATGAAATATTTGGGTGTAAAAAGTACACAAATAATAAACCACTATAAAACTTAAAACAAAAATTCAGTTTTCTCCAAATTTCAGTTGTGTTGACGTACTCCCCCCCCCCCCCCCATTTCTCCCAGCAACCCCTAAGGTGTACTCGAAACATTGCCCTATACCTTCACAAAAACCTTATCTGGTGGAGGGGATTCATGACTGGGGCCGGGGTTTGGAATGCAGGCTCCAGCTGGGCACCACTTACCATAGGTGGCTTCTGGGTGGAGGGGCAGGGGGCTAAGGCAGGCTCACCCCTACCCTGGCCCTGCACCACTCCCAAAAGCAGCCAGCAAACTCTCTCCATCCCTGCCTCCCTCTGCTCTGTGGAGCTGGGGCACAAGGTGGGAGGAAGGGCACCTTGACATCAGCATCCCCCTTCCTCTTCTTCCCGTGTCCTGCGCAGCAAGCAGGAGGCTCCCAGGGGTGAGAGGCACCTCCAAGGCAGAAGGCAGGAGCAGCTCGGCAGTGCTGAGAGGGGCAGATGAAGTGCCGGCACTTGATAGCCTCCCGGCCAAACCTCCCCAGGATCACCTGTCAAAGGTTCCAAGATCTACCAGTAGATCCCAATCTACTGGTAGGTGACTACTGCCTTAGGACTTAACTGTGCTGTCCTTTTGAATCAATGAGACTACTACTCACATCTCTAAAGTGGAAGATGTGCATAAGTGTTTGCAGGATTGGGGTCTAAGCATGATCAGGAACATTTAAAAACCTCACACACAAACAGGTAAATCTGGTGTATTGTGTGCCTCTCTCAGATTAGGGGAACTAGTAGGAACTAGAAATCATGTTCCACTTTACCAAAACTCTCTTTTCTCGCAGCTCCAAATGAATCTCATTTTCCTTTCCCCTTGAAGCAGAAATTTAAGGGATCCTTGGATTTAAGGCTCAGAAGTATTTCCAGATAATTCTGAAGTCTGACTGTTTCCAAAATGGGAGTGGAGCCAGTTGAATCAGCTGCAATCTCAGGACAGAAAACAGGAAACTGATTAGTACACAGCTTCACGTGGACCTCAGACCTGCTGTGACTCAGCAAAAGAAAGCCTGGGACTGAAACTTGACACAGCAATCTGGAGAGGCAAACACGCACTACAGTGACTCAGCAAAATGAGGACAAACATGTTTTCAGAGGCCCTTGAAAGGGTTAGTCAGCAGCATAATCTAGCTACGTGGCTTTTGTGCTGTGTGCAGTTTTTGAGTTTGCTGTTCTTTGGTTACAGTGTTCACAAAGCAGATGGAATTTCCCACAGAAACACAGCTCCCAAGTTACCAGCATTTCAGAGGCAAGACCAGCTAAATAAAATAAAACTTTGTTCCCTTTCATAAATGGCAGGAGACTGTGAAAAAAGGAAGGAAAATCAGAAATTTCCTCCCCATCAAAAGAGCGCAGCATAAAATCTAAATGAGCCTTTAAAAGAAACAATCTGTCACCACCTGTGATGTTATGTGATAAAAATATAACCCTGTAGATCATGGTTGCAAACAG